GAGGTGCCTCCGGGCGGGGGGGGAGTGGGCGGCCGGCCCCGAGCGCGGCTTCCCGCAGCCCCGTGGGGCCTGGCGGGAAGGGGCCGGGGCAGCTTCTGTCCCTGACAGGCTGCCTGGCCCGTGGTCCCCTCAGCCTGCGCACCTACTGCCGCTGCGGAGGGAGCTGCCCACGCCTGACTCCGCTCGCAGCCGTGGTGGAAAACTGTCCTTAAAACTCGGCCTAGACTCAGGCCTCAAGCATCGAGACCCCCCCTGGGAAGGGGCTTGTCTTAGCGAGGCTACAGCCCCAGTCTGGAGCAACGGGGAAGCTTCCAAAGACAAAGCACTTCAGGCATCGAGTCCCGAGCGGTTTTGCTGTTCAGGTCACCGGAGGCTTCAGGTGTCAGGGCCTGTTTCACAAGTAGGGCAGGACTCTGCTCACACAAGTCTGGGGCTGTTTAGGTTGTCCCAGCACCGATACAGCACTAGGAAATTACTCCTTCCAGAAACACAAGTTAGGCACTGAAGTAAAATCCTTTTGGTGCCACTTGTAACTCAAGAGCAGTATAGATGGATGGCAAGCATCCAAAGGTTGTAATCTCTGCTCCTCTGTTAAATTATTTGTGCAGTAAATAAACTGGTAAGCTCCTTTTCGACTAAAAACACTGGTTGAAACTCGAGGCTCAAAATTTCCACAAGGAAATAAATCGGTAAAGTGGAAAGAAAATAATTGCATTGAAGAAGAAAACTTGGAGTATGAAATTAGTTTGCAAAAGTGCTTTGAGAGTGTCAATAAAAATAAAAATTCATCCAGTAGGATCAAAATGAAAGGACTAGATTTTAGTCTTTTTAGGAGTGCAGTATATGGCAAAGCTATTAATTTTGCTAAAGCTACTCCTGCATCGCTGGGCTGAGAATTGTGACCTAAAGTAAGAAGGTGGCTGGAGTTTGTAGCTATTAAATATTAACATTCCAACCCAGTCTGGTGCTCCAGATAATTTCTGCTAAGTAGAAGTACAACAGTAAAATAACAGTAGAGAAAACAATCATTCAAAATTCAATTTGCAAAACATGCAACACATCCCATAACACCTCACTGCAGATGAGGGGTGAGAGTCACGGTGGGAGTGAAAAGCAATGCCAGGCACTCTCCCCAGTGCCATGGATGCCCATCTAGCTGGGTGCTGCTGCACCCAAATGAGCCATCTCAGAGCTACCTCCACACACCACCAGAGCTGTAGCGTAGATGTGTGTGCATCTGCCCTAACCACATCACATTCTCAGCTGTGAAGCACTTCCCCAACTGCATAAGCTCAACTACCTGGCCACCTCGAGAATCCGAATTTGGAAGTACTTTAGTGTAAGGGAAATGATGCAACCCCCAAAACCCCAACTTCCCGCTATTTTGCCACTGGATCCTCCAGCCACTGTGGCACAATCCCACAGGGGCTGAGCTGACCAAACAAAGCCATGTGCTGAAAACAGGTCCATCGACAGCTCCAGGCATGGTCAGGGGGAGAACAAGCCCCAGGGCCACTCAGGGAGCCCTGGCTGGGACAGCAGGAGACAAAGTACAGAAGAGGTTTCCAGTGGGGCTTGCCAAAGAAATTAAGGCCTATTTGGGCCCTGACAATAAACTATTCCTCGTAACTAATGTATTCTTTAATCCAGTTTTTTTTTTATATATCCATATCTTTAATGTCTTTGACGTTATCATCCATTGTAACACGATGAAACTAATGGAGCCACTGCAAAAAATGGTATTTCTGGACTGGCATTATTTGAGCTAGTTAAAACATCACCTCTTTACAAGGAA